TGCTTTGATCTGATCTACTGATTTTTACAATAAATCAAGAACAAACTCTTGGAACATTGTTCATCAAAAACAACAAACACTTTCTGGTTCATTGAATCCATTTGCTTCTTGTTACACCAACTGTTAGAGTATTGTTTCTACATTTCGCTTATGCTAATAAACTTTGGCAGACAAGATTAAAACTAGAGATATGCAGTGGGATTTTAAGCCAAGTAGATGCCTTCCAAAGTTTTACCCTAGTAGCACCTTTAAATACAGATAATGCCAGGAATTAGTCAGTAATAAGTCAATAGTAAGTCTTCTTTACTCATGACTGTTTTTATTTTCCAGAACTCATTACACATTCCCTCTAAATTAGAAGCGTCGCATACCACTTAATCCTTATGTATTGGTATATCCTTCATGAACAGAATAAACATTCCCAGTTCTGACTGGATCATAATATGAAAAGAAACTCCTATTTTTACTAGAATTATTAGTAGGTCATCTTGGCATCTGGAGAGCTCTTGCTGAGTTCTGCTAATTTCTTACACGATTCTCAAGTTGACGGTTTTAAAAACTTGGCATTGTTTCCCTTTTCTCTTTTACATTTGTACAGGCATGTCTACACAAGTGCTTTAGTTCAGGTGAGGCGGGTACTTTACAGCTGAGCTCCTGATCACCCCCACAAGTGGCGCTTTTGCTTACATCGCAAAATAAACTCAGAGCACACAAAGTGAATTTTTGTATGGTTAAACTAAACTGGAAAACTTAGTGTGCACCTAAAATGCTCCAACAACTAAGAGGCACTCAGCCTTCAGGGCGAGAGAAAAGCCAGGCTGAAGAAAAGTCCTCAGAAACAAATGTACTGGAGACAACAGGTCCTCAGCACCAACTATCTTACTCTGCAAAACCAGTTTGATGGGGCTGCCCTCCTTACCACGGCACCTATACTGACAAGCATCCACTTCAACCGTTTATCATGGCTACTTTACCGAGCCTCAAGAGGACTGGCTTTCATTAAGATGCTGTATCATCAGCATAACTCTACTTCAGTCCAAACAAAGATCTTCCACAGTATTCACACATATCCTAATTTCCCTGATTTCTTCCATCCTTGTTGTGTTTTTTTCTCCCCCTTTCCAAGAACAGTTAGGCAACTCTTCAGTAAATTAAATTTGGTCCAATGACTAGCTTGCTAGGCCTTCAATCTACTTACTGGTCTCCAGAGACAAAGACTTAAAAAAAGAGAAAGAACAAAGAAAAGTGCCTAACATGTAATTTTAGAACTTTACATTTCCCTAACTAAACAACTTAACCTGATCTTGAAAGATGCCCACTGCATCAGAGAGAAATTATTTACACTCCCTTGTGAGCTGGCACCTGAGTAATAGGATTGTAATACAAAACTTCACCTCCTGATAAATAATTTGTAAAACGTAAGAGTATTTCATGGCAGCAAAAAGAAGTTAAGAGTGCAGCTTTCATTTAAATGGTTGATTCTGAAGAAGGGTAGTGGGAGTGGGTATCATACTATCTTCGAAAAGTGAAAAAGTAAACATGCCTTATTCCCAGAGAGATCCTGATATCCATTGGAACAGAATAGTATGTTCTTGTATAAGCACTGTACACCCAAGAAAAAGCAGAAGTTCATGTGGTTAGAAATATTGTCAATTAAGTAGCAATTGAACACTGAACACCGGTAAGTTCGTTTTAAAGTACTGGACCAACACAGATGCTTCTGTGATGTAACTTAACTGTGACAGGAGCTACAGAGCCTCAGAAGTACGTTATTAAAAACACTTGGCACTAGTTATAAGACAGCATTGTAAATCCTGAATTCTGATTAGATAGTATCCATAACATTACTTTGGCATAGGGACTACACATATTACAATTTATACAGTCAAATAAAGGCTGTGCAACAATCATAACAAAAGATCAGGACATGTCAAGTTAACCTTTCAAAGCAAATTTTTCCTGACCTTTCTGAAAGAGGAGTGTTGAAGCCTTTTTCTCTGTAGTTCCCTCTTTTGCTTTTTCACTCCGCCTTCTGTAATAACATTCTTCCATTATCCATTTTACTTCTCAAAAGAAGCAACAGGGAAGGGAGCTGCTGTGTTTCAGTAGCACAGTGACAATAGTAGCACTTGCTTTATAAAACAAAGTGAGGATAGCAGGTGCCCTGATTCACAAAAGTTAAAAGGAGTGGACCAAAAAGTTTGTAAGAACTCCCCCGAAAGAGAAATAAGGCAGGCCAGAACGATCTAAAGAATAGAAGACAGAAATAAATGGTAAGGAGAGTGAAGATTTCTCAAACAAGTTAAACTTAAGAGTTCTGTTTTTTAGATCAAACTGTATTTCTTGACATGAGTTTGGTTTTTTTGCTTTTAAGAATAAGTATTTAAAAATCAACATTATTTTGATTTTCTTCTTACTACTAACAAAAGGCTATTTCACAATTATAGCTTCTAAGGGATGAGCTGTATTCTAAGATCAGTGATAAGATTCTTGCACAGCCCTATTTTAAGGAAACCCTGAAATGTTACATTACCATTCCAAACATTATTGCATCAGAACACCTTCTGGCAGACAACTAAGCAATGCAACCGATTTGTTATGTCTAGTCTTTCAGAGCAGTTTCTCTCTCATATTAGTAAATAAAAAGCAATAGCTATATTACAGTCAGAGGGGTGAAGTTAAAAGAAGGTTCCATTATATTTACATTACAAACATTCTTAAGACTGCACTTGCTTGACAGAACACTGCCCGCAAGTCTTCAGGCCATGCAATCTCGCAGCATACCCGTGGAGCAGTTACAGATTAAACACACAGGTTCCCATAGACTAGCCTCCTGAGTACCAGAGAGGCAAGGCTAAGAATAATTTAAATTCATGCATTTACCTGATAGTCTCCACTTCCAAAAAAAAAGAGATGTAGAAGGCAGGACTTCATACATGGGAGTGACTGCCTCATGCTTCAATTGAAAATGCTATAGTCTTATGCATTATCAGACATGTTTTAAGGAAATTCAAAAATACATTAAAAAAGCAGCAAACAGCCGCAAACGGAAGCAACAGCACATAACATTGCATGGGTTGCCGAGACCATGCTGTCTTAAAGAGTTTCTTTTAGTCACCATAGTGCCTTGTAAGTTCACACTTAACACATACATCCACAGCACCATGGACCCTCCCCCACCATACTGATTATTCTGTAAGCAGCATTTAAACCTCCAAAGGAACTTGTCTGTGGGTTATGTTTGTTTGTTTTAAAGGAACAATGAATATATACAGGCAAATTGTATTCAAGTTTCCAGGTAGAACTCACTATTGTAATTATTTTAAAAATCTAAATCTCTTGAGTATTAACTTTAAAGACTGACAGCCAGTGGGTTCTCAGAAAACAACTCCAAAGAAGCATCGTTGCACAGATGCACAAAACTTTTGTGCAATATATGATCCTTGTACCAAACTCAGTGTTATTACGGAAGCTCAAAGCTGTATAAACCATATGTATTATGGATTTGCACCTGCGCAAGGTGGAGCAAGGAGAAGTGAATAGGCAGGAATCTCCCCGTTCCACAGAACGGTCACACATGTTCTAGAAGAGAATGATAAAACCAGAACGGGAAAAAAAAAACACAAAAAAACCACAGAAAACATTTCTCTAAAGGGAATGCCCTATTCTCCCTCTTTCACAGGGCTCTCCATTCAGCACAGTCTCCTGGTAGTACATAAGAAAGAGCTGCTGAAGAACAACAACAAAAAAAACGGTAACAATAATCAACATAAATAACTAACCGCTGTTTTCAGAGGTCTTACTAACTGCACTGGGAAGCAAAAAGTAAAAGATAACAGGATACTATCCTCAGATTTGTGGGTAGGAGGAGAACAAAGCAGCAAGTTCAAACAGGTTCCTGTGATAGTAAAGGCAGTCCATAAAATAAACAGTACTTTGGTCCAACATGGCAAAAATAATCAGGAAGCCATCAAGGCCCAAATTCAGAAACATTTTTATTCAAGAAAGTCAGAAATGTAACTAGATATTTTATATAAAAACTTAAATATTTGCTTTGGTAGAAAAAATACCAACTTCAAATTAAATATTTATCCAAATAAAATATCTAAGTGAACCAAAATAATTACAAAATATTTATACTGAGAAAACTATGTTTTCAACAAGTGTTATTCTTGTTACACAATGAAAAATAAATCAGAATACCATCTGTCACAGAATTCAGAGTAAAAAAAAAAGTTCAGATAATCAGAACTGTATTTCATTTTTGCACACATTTTTAAACTCAGAATTGAGAGAAGGCCAAAGATATTATGGAAAGGGACTTGAAACATTAGTATTTCAAGACAAACAGAACTGTTAGAATTAAAGCATCTTATAAGAAAGATCTTACAGTAAGATTTAGTTCCCTCTGGCAAAGAGGGAGAGTTGATTTTAACTATTTAATAATGATTTACCTGAAAGCAGACAGAAAACTGTTCTACCATTTCAAGCAGTCCCCTTTACTCTAAGTATTCCTCTATTAAGTGAGGCCTAGAAGGCAGCTTATAGAGCATTCGTGTTTTATACGTTGGTGAAGGGAAAAAAATGTTCGCAAGACCAACATACTACATCTCCCACAGGAGTCAGCTAGTCGCTCAGTTAAATCAAGTCTTCACCATTCCCAGTGGTAGACTTGTTCCTTCTTGGACAGGGGAAGGGGGTGGGGGGAAAAAAGGAGAAGAGGTAGCATTATAAAAATAAAGTTCTTCAGCCACTTAATGCTGCACCTGTTACCTAGGGTGCGTCTTTGAAGACAGAAAGTTTACTGAAAATCATTCCTGAAAGTGGAATAGTTTTCACACACAACAGAAGTATGAGACATATTTCATATTAATAACCTTCTGAACTGTCCCTTAACTATGTTCCCAAAATACAACTTTCAAGCATATTTTCTTTAAATATCTGGAACAGCAGACTAGCTTATCAGAAAGAGTAACAAATATATGCAGTTCAGACAAAGCTTGAGACAAGAGATTTGGTTTTATTACAGTATACAATGCTTTTTCCACTGGAAGATGGCCAAATAAATTCCAAGTGAAACTAACTGAAACGCAAAAATCTCTACGATATCAAGACCTTCACCAAGCATATTTAAAGATACAACCTGACTTTTTTTTTTTTTTTAAACTTAAGGTTTTATTGATAGGAATGCAAATATAACCGTGGCAGATCACAAACACAATTCAAAACATTTCATTATAAGCAGGTCCTTAAAAACATCTGCAATCATTTATAACAACTACATTTCATATTTGAATCATTATATCTTCAATCAAAATATTCTTCTAGTGCCCTATATTAGACTGTTACTGAAAAACCCAGCATCGAAGTATACGGTAAAAAATTCCAGAAATACCTGCTGATTATAAGTCCCCATTTTTAGGCACCTCATGCAGGCTTATTTCTGGAAGTGCTATTGTTCATCCTCTGGAAAATTAATATTCCTGTTTTCTCAAAGTGTGTATCAAAAAAACAAAGGAACATTTCTGGATATCTAGAGGACATAATCATCACCTAAAACTCGAATGATTGCAGATGCTTACTGTTAACACAAAGTGAGAGGGTATTTTTGTTTGTTTTTTTAAAATATGCTCTCCAGTCACAAGATTCAATTTAATTCATGGATGTGCATACCTGAGCTGCTATGTTTTCTAAAAAGTTCAGTTTTCCTTAAGAGATACTAAAAGGAAACAAAAGAATACAGAATATTTAGCTGAATTGCTTGTTTTCTTTAAATCTTTCTTCCTTTCCAAGAGGCCTGTACATCTACTGACAAAGTTTATAAGACAACGGCATACACCTTTTATTGACCTCTCATGTCTTCATTGCTTGGATCTGATCTGGTAACAAAAAGAAAGAGTTACTCTTAAAAACAAGGAAGATAAGTTTTTGCTGTATTTCACTTTTTGAAAATATCAAGCCAGCATGTTCAGGTTACAGAACTACACTAAAAGATATTTTGGTGTAGTTATAATAAAGAGAGACAATGCAGTTCTGTTTGTTTCCAACTTGCTCTTCCGTCTACTTTTGAATTTCTTCCACAGCCAAGTAACTTCCCCCTGAAGTTGCTTATTAAAACAGGAAGAATCTTCAACAGAATTCAGTTTCAGCATTTTTAGGCTTACAGAGTAACACTGATGAGAATATGGCTGAAAGTTACAAAGTACACATTTCAATTCCTTCCACACATTTTAGCTTCCATGTAACTAAACATGAACTAAGCTCCCCAACAGCTATGAATACTAAAAGATTTAAATTTTGGTCCTGCATAGTTCACATGGAAACATCCTTGCTCTAAGTGACCACAGGTCTCCGTACTGTTGCCTGATTGCCACTTCTAAATTAAGTTTCAAACATTTCTTTAGTTAGCATAAATATACCGCATCCCTAGTACAAAACGTATAAAGCACTACATTGCTATACTAAGTCAATATTTGCTAAAGGGAAAAGGCAACACCTCATTCCCCTCCCAAAAATCAGTGGAGTATCTATAAGGGATCTCAAAAAAGTACCTAATAAAAGCATGACTGTTGATAAGGAGAGTATATTCATTAAACAGGTGACTGCTCCTCCATCACAATAGGCGATTATAATACCCACACACTGTGATTTAGGGAGCGATATAACTTAGAGCTGTGTTTTCCAAGTGCCCTTGCAGCATTCTCAGAATGGACAGGAGAATGGCAGTAGAAAGTCATTCTTGAGAGGCGAGGGGAGAAAGTCTTAGTCCATCAAAAGTTTAACTGACAAACTGTACATGCTTAGGCAACAATCTAATTTAAACCCCAAAGTCCTAAGCTTTCTGTGAACGCACTCCGACAGGGAGTTAAAAGGAACTCTTTTAGGCAAAACTTATCCAGGAAGAATTTCAGCTCAGAAAGAGAAAGTTAAGAAATGTAACAGTCCTTGGAAAGTGAATAGATGCAAAGAGCTTTACAAATGAATGACAGCAGAAGAACTGGGTTGTGATGCTTAAGAATCTACATTAACAACTTAGGCAAATATTTTCTGACAAAATATTTAAACAAGCATTTGAGATCCTTTTAAGTAGCTTGAAACTACACACAAAATCATCAACTCCAAATTTGGTTTGAATGCCCTTGAGAAGCTTCCATAAGAAGAGAACCTGGAAATCAGAGGAAGATATTACAAAATCACAACTCTCCCTAAAATGAGGAAAAGTGTAAGATTTGGAATCCGCCTTCTGTGATGGGATTCAGAAGGGAAGGAAACTCAGTAGTAAGCTCTCAGTTTCCCGTCAGAGAAAGGTTTTACATGGTGGAAGATATACCTTTCCTTCTGTGGGGAGGTAAGCCTCTCCGTAAATACTAATTTCTGGCTAGTTCCCCTTCCTCTGGCATGAACGAATGTTTTAGTATTGTGTAATAAAGTAATAAACCCTCTCTTTCTAATTAGCAGTAAGGATTCTAAGTAGAACGGACAGTGGTATCCCTGTATAAGTGGAGATAATGTTAATCATGTACGACGCTGGGTATTATTTATAGCCATTCGAAGAGAATTTAATTTAGCTGCACTGACTGTGGAACATTACTGACATCTAGCGGCTTCCGCTGAACAGGACACCTCAATATAGCTAAACTGTCTTGCACAGCATTTTGTTCTCGGATTCAAATTATACTACACTGTCTAATACAATCACAATTTGAACTATGTACATTAGATCGAGGAAGCTAAAATTAAAGCGAGCCTACCAAAACAATATCACACTTCACTATTCTATGCATCTAGCAGTACCTGGGAAGACAAAAGAGACCAGGTCTTTATCAGTAATACAACAGACGGAAATACACAGCATCCATACCAAGTTTGCAATTAGAAAAGTATGTGTAACACATGATCCAGCCCAGATCTGAAATTTTCTATGTAGTTATGAGTATCTGCATATTCTACAATCCATTTAATGTAACTTGTTCTTATTTTGGCTCGAGATTAAAGAACTGAGGATGAAAAACGGTATGGTTGTCCATGTATTCTTCATCTACTTTTCCAGCTTGCTTATTCACCATTTCAAGATGCATAACATTAGAATAAGGAAAACCAGAACAGGACAGTACAAATAAATCAAACAGACCAAACTGCCACAACAATGAACAGAAGCTAAGGATCACCTTTTATTACTATTGTCTGTAAGAAACAGTATTATACTGTTCCCAAGTGTATGCATTAATTTTTTCACCGAATGCATTCTTGTCAGAAAAACTGGTATCATCTTTTTTGTGTATGTTAAGCAGATGAATGAAAGGCAAATATCAGATACTTAGCATTGGTACTCACTGTGTGATTTGATCTGACAGCAGAAGTGGACAGAAAGAAAATAAAGGAAGTAATAAAGAAAAAAAACCTTACAAAATGAAAGAATTCAATGACATTAAAACATAGCAGGAAAAGTAGGTATGATATACCTTGGAGCCAATCCACGCCCTCTTGTAATCCTTCCCCTTTGAGGGCATCACTGGCACTAAAAGAAACAAATCAACTTATGAAAACATTGTAAATATACCAGTTTTAGTGGAGTCTTTTTATATATGTATTTTTATACATACATACACACATATACACACACACACACACACACACACACCCCTGCCATAATTCACACAATTGCTAAATAGCATCATGTACAATTTACTTAAGTTTTCTTCCCATGGAGAAGGCTGCTTTTCTAATTGCATATTCTATTGTACCTTCCCAACTTGGGAATGCTATTCCAAAGTGTAATCTGTTTTGCTGAGTGACTACTCCAGTATCAAGGCAGAGGAATCACTTTTAAAACTAGGTGAGGGCTTCTAGAAGAGCTCCTATGCAAGAGAGCCACATTGTCCCACTGCAGGTGTACTGAGGTAATACCCTCTGCAGAAAATGCTATAAAGGACGTTTCAATTACCTACAGTAATAGTAACGAAGCAGCACCTTTCCTCTTCCTACCCTTCTCCTATACACAGAAGGGTTGTTGGAATATGGGAGGAAGAAAGTGTAGCATGCACTTCATCTTAACATCTGCCCCGGGACTGTCCGTCAACACACGTTAATATCAGGTAGGCTACATTGAGAACAGTGAGTCTACTCTTGGAGTCCCAAATGTATAATCACTTAAGGCCCCTCTTTCTGCAGCTTATGAAAATTAGCGCAGCAGTGTATTTGGACTGTTATTGTTGCTATCTATAAAATTATTTCCCAAGGAGCCTGGGAATTCATACGGGTAATTTTTGACCATTTTTGAGTGAAAAAGCAATAACCCCAAAATAATACCCAGGTAACCAAGTTTAATATTAAAGTGCCTAAAATGAAAATTTCAATTTTGTACAGCATTTAGATGCTGTTTTTTCCCTTATGCTTACAATAACTGAACATTTTAACAAAGACAAAAATCTAAGTTCTATAAAGCACATCTGAAAAAGGAAAGTTTGTGCCTGTGAACACCAGCTTAAAAATTATTTCTGAAGAACGTAAGCTTTCTTATATAAAAAAAAATCCTAAAATATTATGTAGTACAATTTTGTCCCTCTGAATTACACAAGAACAGTTTACTAAGTAGCTTTTTATCCCTGTGTGTTTTACTAGGGCGTTCAAAGAGCAGGAAAACCCAATTCTAATAGGTTTTACCATTGACATTCTGAATTATGCAAGACTAACAGCATGATTCTGATGACAATTCTACTCAATTTCCCAGCAACAATAACGGCAAATACTGTTCTGATATGCACGCTGGATCTTGATTTCACTAGAAGTCATCCATTTCATTATTTGGGTAACAGTACTCTTGTGAAAATTTTCCCATCAGGCCCTACAAGATCGCAGTGTTCTTTCAAAACACATTTCATAGCAAGTGCTGTAATGTTACTACTGTTTCCACATGTGGCAGCACAGCATTTTATCTGGCTAACTTATGTTATATAATAATGAGTGACATGAAAGGAGTCAAAATATGAATGTAGAAACTAAAATCAATAAAAGGGTAGAAACAGGAATTTACCAGATATGCCAGGGTTTGTCTTTGATGTTTTCTAATGACAATAACTGAGATACTTTCACAGACGATATTGCATCCCTGAGGTCCATCTTGTTAGCAAAGAACAGAATAGGCAGTCGACGGTGCTTAATATCTAGGCATAAGCAGAAGTAGAACTACCATAACGTTATGCCACACTTACTAATCTCTGCAAGTAATAAACTGCAAACAATAAAGGAGGATATTTTGCTCACCTGTACTTGTAATTCTTTGAAGGTTGCATCCTAGCAAGATGCACACTGTTGGGTCACGTGGCCTCTGATGCATGCTTCAAGAATGCTCTCAAAATTTCTGGCAGGCTTTGGGATCTTCAACCCCCTCTCCCCCTACCTTTTACACATATATTTAAAGCCGTAGGTGTAAATTGCTGGTCAAGTTGAGGAACAGGAGATCACCAAACTGCTTACAAATATTACCCATCACTGTTTAGTGATGATTAGGTGTATAAAATGGACAGAAAAAACAGTCTGTGTTTATTCATATCCTTGTAAGAGTGTTGCATTAGGACAGTCTAAATTATCCTTTAGTGTCCTGGAGAGTGTCCCTTACTTTTTTTTTTTTTTACAGTTCATAGAATAATAAATAAATAAATACGCAAAATAAAACAACCCAAACCACTCCAAACCTCTCGCTATCCCTTATTCCACCTTCATTTGAACAGAGGCTTCTTTTCCAGAAGCTCTTCTCAGCTAGCAGCAGGAACCACAGATCAAACCAATGACCTTGGTATACTGTTAACTCCTGGCATACGTATACATATAAAAGCATAAGAAGAGGTATCTTTCTTGTACATATCTGAGTAAACTCGTCAGACTATCCTCATAACCCAGGAAAATGCATAAGCCTCTCTGATTACTATGAACATTAAAGAGTCATTGGAAGGAAGCAAAGTATACTCTTTTCAACTTGGTTTTAAGGGAATAGACAGAAATAAAACTGGCAAACTAAATATGAGCATTTTTAATGTGATAAAAATAAACAATGAATTACAGGACCAAACAACAAAGTCAAATTTGAGTCTATCAATCAACCTTCATAGGAAAATAATTAAAAAAAAAAACTTGTGATGACAATTAACCTACAAGTTGTTCAAGAAGAGGTTATTTCACATAGGAAACAAGCTAGGGACCTATTAAAAAACTTCAAACATAAACCAGCTGCTTTTGCTGGGGGAGGGAGGAAGAGGAGGGAACCCTCTCATTGCTGAAGCAGTTTGGACTTCTTAATCTTGTCCCTTTCAAAACCCTCTTCTCAACCTTTCCACATAATAGGTGAAGATAACATCATCAGTACCTATACGCAGAGATCACGAGTGCTTACCAAAAGGCTTTTTTTTTTTTTTTTTTTTTTTTAAAACAACTGGCTACCCCACCTGGAGCTTTTCTTTCCCAATATTCTCCAACACAAATCAAAAGCTTCAAACTATAAGAGTAGAACATTATTAAATCTCTGTTTTGGTTTCTCAGTTGAATAGGGTTTTTTTTTTTCCGCTCATTGAAAGTGCTACAGCAACCTAAAGTAGAACTCTGAACTCCGGTACCCACAGGTTGCAGTTTACGGATATATTAAAAATATAGAGATTACTTTATATCACATATGCAAATAGCTGAGTTAATTAAGGAGCTTTCAGTGTTTCCTTAAAGCAGCTAAAACAGGGCAAAATCTATCTGCACAGAATTATAAATGTTTACTTTAAAATGTTTGTAGAACAAACTGAAGGTCAGATATTTCCAAAGATACACATCATTCCCTACTGCACCTATGCAGTGCTTTTCCCCTCCTGTTCTTCCAGTCATTAGCAGAAAGCTAGCATTTTCTTGTTGCAAGTAGTTACGAGTTAACACATTTAAAAATAAACTAAAACCCCAAGCACTAGAGATAGGCGTAATTTTATATGAAGAACCGCAAATTCATAGAAATTTCAGGTTATTTTAGAAGCATGTGCAGGAAGTCAAGTGACCCAAGAGTCGATATCAAAACAAGGACTTTAAAGACTATCATCTTGCAAAATGCTGAAGAATAAAGTTTTGATAAACAATTAAAATTATAACAGTGATCATTAAACAACCCATTATTTGTAGAATGATTTCCACTTACATAAGTAAAACAATTTACAGCTTTGATTCATAAGACAGTCCCAGCTAGTACAACTTCTAACACTATTAACGCATCGCATTACATTACAGTTTGATCATTCTCTTTCACCTGAATGCTTCACGCAAAGCCTGGCAAAAAAGAGATGGAACTTTCTGTTTTACTGCAGGATTGCTAATATTTTCAAATCCAGGAATTGACTCAAGGCTGTTACCCATCATCCATTTAAACCTAAGTTTTCCGTAAGTAAACATGTAAATTTAAGCATTCCAGGAGGCCCACAGAGGCAGAGGATAGAAGGGCGGGAAAGCAGTGCATGAGGGGAAGGATAGAACAGTAATGCAAATAAAAGTATTGCTGTAGTAGTAAATGAATTATAGATTTAGTTAATACCTACTTTAATCAAGCATTACTACTAGAAGACTTTTCATTCTCTTTGGTTTTAGTAGTAAGACCTATCAAAATCCAAAATGATGAAACAGGAACACTACTGCTGTATTTGAGCTGAGCCACCCCAAGGCAGAAATGCAAAACTGCCCTTTCCTGGATACCAAGGAACCTATGAGGTGGCTGTAACCATAACTTTTCAGAACTAGATGACACAACTGTATTAGAAACAGAAGAGCACTGTCCTCTGAGATCAGCACTAACCACCTACTAATATGTAAATAAAAGAATCCCACCTAACCTTGCATCTCACCCTTCTTAAAATTGTCACCCACTTGCTTTATAAGAAATCAGCTTCTTATTACAGCAGTTCTCACCTTGTAACTCACTCCCATCCTTTGTTCCACATGTTTTCCATTTTACCAACAGAGCTGTCTTTTAACCAATGTGGTTAATACCTGCTTTGCTACAAAGTTCACTGGCCTGTATGTAATCCACCTGCAGCCTTTGGCTGACCTGACCCTTCCCTTTGATTTTTGCAAGACTGTCTTTTCAGTGTCTGCATTTGAACTGGCCCAAACCCTTGAACGTGAAATGGAGAGGGCCCAGTCAGCTCATACACACCCAGCTACAGCATCTCTGTGACGAACTCAAGTATTATGTGCTCTGCATGGAAAATAAAACCACAGAATCATAACTGCCCATATCACATACTCCTTTTCTTGATTAGAAACACAGAAGTCAGCTTCTCCTTTGCTCACTTCCAGCATAGTAACCCCAGAAGTTAAGGACTTGTGAGTATAAGAAATAAAAAAGACATTACAGTAGGATTTCACCTTTAAGTTTCCTGCATGTAGTTTTATACTCTGGTTAGTCAGAGAAACTAATATGCTGAAAGTCAAATTCAAAATTCCATAATGCTTACACATACACAATTTAACTACAATAGTATTGACCATATGGGAGGGGAAAGAAGGGAAAAGTCGATCAATCTCAAAACTTAATTCAAAACCATAACCTCAAGGGAAAAAAAAAAACTCCCTAAAACCAAACCCCTCATCATGAATCCTCTCGGATCTTTTTGCATCCTGTGTATCCTTCTATAGGCAACTGAAACTGACTAGTATAATAACCCATCCTTATAACTGGCTACAATGTAATTAAAACAATCTTTGGAAAGCTGACAATGAAATAAAAGAATTGAAAAGCACATTTAAGAAATTAACTGTTACCTTGGAAAAATGCAGATGTGGATTTTTTTTTTGTATTTGTTAGTGACTGCATACAAGCAAGATCTCTAATTTCTGTAAGCGTCAACAGTTATTCTTCCTCAAAACAGTATGACTATTGTTCTACAGTGATTAATAAGTCCAATTCATAACGTAGTCCACTACATATGATCAGACTATAAATCTGCATAGGTGTGAACAGCTATCCAAGACCATCATTCTTATTCTAGTATTCATGAGTGGCTAAAATATTTGCAAAATACTCAGCATGCAGAATGTGCCAGATAAGAAGGGTTTTTCTTAAGACAATATAACAAATATGGAGACAGAAGCAGGGGGGGGAAAAAAAAAAAAGCCTCCTCACCTGGATGATTCAGAAGGGTGTCAAGTTCTTCTTTGGCCACAACCATTCTTAATTTGTCACTGCTATCAATGACAAAAATAATGGCTTGGCCTTCTCTGCATAACATAAAAAGAGTAAAGAGGCAAATTACAGGTTCTCTTAAACTTTGGTTAAGAAAAGGCTTCAGAAGAAATACCCAAAAGGAGCACACAAGCCTGATTTTTTCTTCTTCTAATTCCTGTTGTTGTTATTTACCACTAATACTTGAATCTAGGCCTATTTCTGAAATTCAAACTTTTTGTTACCAGCATAAATTCAACCAGAGGCACTAGGTCGCTAGTTGTGTAACTACTGCAAGGTTCAGTCTACACAGACCCTTCAGAAAACCTTGATTTCACTACTGAGGCAGAAAACTAAACTCTGAAAAATGTAATCAACTGCAACGCTGACATGGTGGGATGAAACATATAAAGAAAACCTCAAGAGTTAGGCTTCCATCAAAATTCTTTAGTTCCTAAACTAAGACAAGCTTGTTTAGAGGATGCTCAATTATCCTTTTAGAAAAATGGTATGTCCACAGTCATTTAATAACTTGGCATATGCAGATTAATTTTGACAGAAGTCAGCACAAAGAGTATCAGATTTTTTGTTCTGAAAAACAGATGTGAAAACTACTTCAAATCATTTCTGAATGATTTTTGCTTGGTGATACAACAGCAGATACAATACCTACAGATGCTACTCAACTCATGATTTCAGGATATTATTGACATTTTAAGATGACGTTCCATTTGTATTTGCAAGCAAAATAAAGTCTAACTGTTCATCTGAATTAGTCCCACAAAGGATAAAAAACAAAATTAGGCCCACAAAAAATATTTTTCATCTTCTTAATACATGTAAGTACACACTTTTCCTTCATTCTGCGTTTTCAAGAGAGGCAATTACTGATTGAGTATAAACCAGCCGCACCCTAGACATCACAACG